TGAACACAAAGTCTAAGAATATTCTGTGGGAGAGAAGAAAGACATCAATAAATACACTGAATATATATGTGTTCGAAGAGTAGAGTAGACTAAAGAGCTGAGAGCGAGAGAGAGAGAGAGAGCATCAGATGTTGAACACTGCGAAAGTAAAACCTATCACAAAATGATTTATTATGATTTAACGGTTTGACAACATTAGGGCCAAAACACAAATCACAAATACCGGCGCTCACAGCACAGCATACCATACACTGTAGAGTACAGTATATCTACTAACTATACAAACACTTTATATACAGTGAACACCTCTTTCTCCTGATATAAACTACCCCTTAATATCACTCCATAGACGAAGAAAAGGACTGTTTTTTGACATAAGATAAGAGTTCCCAACCTTTAGCCCTAACATCGATTGTGATATAAATATAGTTGTGATAAGAATATAATAGTAAATGAATGTAACATTAAATAAGAATATATTTCCTCAATATTTGTTGTCAGTCCTGTCCTTCGCGTCCATAAATTCAAGTCTCAGCGAAAAAAACTTTATTTGCTTTTTGTTGAAAAATATATAAAATAGATTTATTCTCATGGGATTCGTAAATAGTTTTTACAAATATTACTCTTTTTTATTGAACAAAATTGTTGCCCAAAAAATATTTTGCTGAAATATATTAATAGATTTTCACAATAAAGTCCTAATTATTTTTGTATAATAATTAGTTGTTAAATGAATAATCATTTCTGAGATTTTTATATTCATAAGAATTTGTGAATTAAGTAACGGATTATATATTAAATCCTAGCCTTTTTAATATTAATAATTTGTGTGATATTAATGCAAAAGTTGGTGTTTAAAAGCATTAGAAACACTTATATCTAACGGCGACTCTCACTGTATAATGATTACCATTAAAATGAGAGATAATTAAATTAAGTTATACTAATTAATATACGAAATATTATATAATACATTACATATAATATCTAAATTGACAACAAATTAATTGCATTTTTTCTGTTAATCACTTTAATATCATTAAATGTGTTATATCTAAAAGAATACCGATATTCAGGTAATATTAATATATCTTTTAGAAAAATGTAAACATATTTTTTGTAACGATTCTTTATATATAATATTTTATACAGAATTTAAAATCTTTTTCTTCACATTAGGTGTTATCTCAAGCCATACATAACATGCAATTTCCTTGAGTGCTAAACATTGGGTGTATTTTGTCTTTAGCTTTAAAGTTATTATAATATTACGATATATTACTTTAATGCCATTTTCTCCACCAAATGAAACATTTGTTTTCAAGTTTCCACACAATAAATATCTCTCGCCATTTGCCTCTTAATTATTACATTTACTCTCAGTTTCTGTCCATAAATTTTATGCAAATATTTTAAGTAGAAAAACCACAAATAGTCACTAATTTACATATATTTTAAATAAAAATCTCATGATTATTACTCGGAATGCATAGTATATGCAAAAAACAACAACAAAACAAATGTTTTATACAATAGATTAGTGAATGTTTTGCGATATTTCAAGTAAATTATTCAGTCTATAATTTGAGACGATATATAAATGAATGTGTTTTTGCATTAAATGTGAGTTTACTGTACATTCTTTGGGAAACTAAATTAGGGTTATTGTTGTGTATAAACTGATTATTCAAACAAATTAATTACAAAATGCAAGAATAATTTGTCCATATTTTAAAGCAGAGAATGACTGATTCAAAGTCTAAAATACACAATTAAAGCTACATCATTAATTATAGCGTTTAATTATATTTATTTTTACCATCACGAGTGCAATAAACCCCATATAAACACCAGCATTGAAAGAGAGAGAGAGAGAGAGAGAGTCAAAACACATTAATTTAAAATACAGAGAAATAATTTATTATAATTCTTATTATAAGTTATATTATGGTATTATTTATGTTTATATTATGATTCTGTTGTGTAATTGAAAACTCAGACAAATGGGTGATAAAAGTATTGTATATTTTTTGGAGTAAAAATATTATACACAACTGTCTAAAAGAATAATATTTAGTGTATAATAAAACAATTTTAATGCAAAACACATACAGTATGTCAGACTTGTTATAATTATTTGCTATTTTTTAGTAAACCAGAATATTCTGTGGGTTGTGTTTTATAATATAATATTTATTAAATAAACAAAAATAATAATTTTAATATTATGTATAAATCTCGTGTATAAAAAGGCACCGAAAAATTATTATACTTTTAGTTAAATAAAGAAAAAAATTAAATAAATTCCTGAAAACATAATATTCAGCACAAATATAATATAAATGTACATATATGTTAGAAATTGTATGTTTGCTCTCTTTTCTCTCGTATATATCTATTATATTATATTTTCTATCATTGAATTGAATGCAAAAACGAGAGCCAAAAACTCATTTTATTTTATGTCTGCAAAAATAGAGTTAACTCAAAAAAAGAGAGAAAAATATTTGCATAATATATATGTAGAAAACTTTTCTTTCCATTCAAACACTGATATAACTGTTATATAAAAAAGTTTTTACTCCTTTTATTGATGAACTTCTCTTTCATGGACTGTTTGTTTGCCATTTATTTCCGTATATATGAAACATATGAGAGAAACGTATAGTTTATATGCAAAATGTCTATAAATTATTGCATAAATTAATTTTATTATTATTTTCAAAAAATTACATTTAAAATCACAGTTAAGTTTGTGATCACTAGGATTTAGATCGGATTTAAAAAGTAATTAGAAACTAGTTTTTCTCATTATAAATATAGCATAGGATGAAACAAAGCAAACAAATAAAACACAAATTTGCATGAAATGAGTTTTTGCCGATTAAAGAGTCCGTTAATTAAATCATTATTATTTCATGAATTACTTGTGCTCACAAACCAATCACTGATTGTATAACAATTTGCTGCAGAAATTGGGTGTAAAGGAAAACACAAAAAACACAATACAAAACGTACGGCAAAACAAATAACACATCCCTTTTAACTTATTCATGAGAGCCGTATATTAACAGACCTCTCATTTGGGACAACACTGTTATTGATTGCATCTAAATCTATGCCATTATAGAAATACAAAACAAAAAACTCTTTACTTTGCTTTCATATAAATGTTTGGACAGAGAAATCATTGTCTCGTATCCATTGCTTTGCGTAATGACTTAAAACACTAGTTATAAAACAATCTAATGACTGCTTAATTGCATTGGAAATGAACGAAACGACTCTAACTGTAAAACCAGTGATAAATTGTTTACAAAGAAATGGTGGCAAAAAGCTTTTGATCAAAAAATATTATTACAATTCTCATCAAAATTACTGTCGACTACTCTATGAAAGAAAGTGTTTTCTTTCGATATAAGAAAAGGGCTTTAATATAGCGGCAAAAAAGTAATGCCAAAAATCTTTATCATTCAGTTTGCATTCAAATTCAACAAATGAATCCATGAGTCCATAGACCGTATGATTGAGTGTTCATTTGTCATCAGAAAAAACATATATAAATGCAACGAAAGGAATATATAACCAAAATAACTAAATAAATAAAACAAATTCTCAATATTAGTGCTCACAAGAAATACAATGAAATCTAAAATTCAAATGATATATGAAAACTTATTTTATGCTATATTTTGGGATTCAATGGATAGAGTGGTTGAGAGAGAGAGAGAGAGAGAGAGAGATGCAAAAAAAATGTGAACTCAATATTAGAGAGAGAGAGAGAGAGAGAGAGAGAGAGAGAGAGAGTAAAAGATCCCGGAAAATCGATTTCTAACACAACTAAATATAGTATAGGGTTTAAGAATATTATTATTTTTATTGATTTAAAAATAAAGTGGAATTATATATATATTTTTTCGGTCATAAATTTAATTTATTGTCAAATGATTCCTAAAAACTATTTCTGAATTTTCAGTATATATTCCATAAGAATATAATTTTAAAATATATCAGACAATAAAAAATACATAAAACTCTGTTATAAATAACTTATGGGAATCGATGGCAAAAATATCTTCAAAAGTGTAGTAAAAGAATGAAAGTAAACCAATTTTTACATATGAAGGGACGGGTAGTGTTTTGGGGACATCAGTAATATGAATGTTATATACCGTATACAATCATCGTCTCCTCCTCCGAGTCCTGGGACGACAACGACATCACATGACACGAGTATTTGCCGCTCAAATCGATGGTCGGTCGCAATATATTGAGCGCCCGGTATTGGGTTAAGGGGTCGGCGGTGTTGACAGTGAAGTCCATATTGATTCTGCCCTGCAATCGCTTCGAGGCGTGTCTGGCCTTCAACTCCGGAATCCATTGATAGATGGGCTCCGGATCGTCGTTCAGAAACCATTTCACCACAAGATTGCTGTCTTCCTTCGGGTCTAATGTGTAGAGACAGTCCAGTATTATTGAGTCCTCCGTCCCGTTCTCCACAAAACGGGGCACAAACAGCGACTGGATCTCCACTTTTGCATCGCATACTATATATGGGGACAGAAATGAAAAATATTTTATTTTACATAATAGAAAGTTATTGAGAACTCTTTAAATTATTGTTGTATATAAAGTATATTCTGTATATATTTTGAGCGTTTGTTTGTTGTTTTTTGCCATAAATTTAAAATTGAAATAAATATTATTCCATGCATTCAAAGGATAAATAAATTCCTTTCGCTTTACATATGAATTATATTGAGTTCACATTTTTTTTGCATCTCTCTCTCTCTCTCTCTCTCTCTCTCTCATACTTTCACTCCTTTGCCTTCTCTATGACTACTGAAGAGAAAAATTTTCATATTTTTCTTCATTTGATTTCCATTTTCTCTCTCTTATATATAATATACTTATTTTTCGTATAAATATTAATATAATGACTGATCACAAGAATGTCATCAATTATGACGAGTGAACCACAGATATAGTGAAGAACAGGAATGAGAAATAATAAGTTCTGTGAATATTAAATGAGAATTTATTTTTTAAAATTATTACATGTCTTATACTTATCTATAAATTCTGGATTTCATACTCAACTAACTTTTAAGTAGAGAGAGAGAGAGAGAGAGAGAGAGAGAGAGAGAGAAAACTTTTGTTTAGCCAAAACGTCAGCTTTTGAGTGTATGACTGAACAAATGTTTTTAAAAAACACTAAATTATTTGCATATATTCTGTAGCTTTAAATTCTTTTTAATATTATATTGAGAGAGAGAGAGAGAGAGAGAGAGAGAGAGAGAGAGATGTTATTAGAAGTACTGTCAAAGACAGAGAAAGGGAAATGTATTTATCATATATTCTATGTATACATAGTATAGAGCAGTATAAATGTATATATAGTGTACAACGAGAACAAGAATTGAACAGAAAATAGGAAACAAAAATATAAGAAATGAAATAATATTATGTGATCACAATATCAGTGACTATATCTACATAATTGCAACATTCAGTGATCTCTATGTCTCTCCCCTTTTCCCTCGTCTCTGCCATAACTGCGATCTGTTATTATTAATATATAATACGATATTATATGTCAATTGACTGACAGCTCCGCCAAAGAGTTTTGACTTCAATTACACGCGAACTAAAGATCCAGAAAATCAATTAGCGTTGAGGACGCGAAAGGGCGCACATCAGTGGCACTACAGCTCCGATTCCCACTACAACAACAACGCCGGCCAACACTCGGCACTCGGCTCTACGGGACCCGACGGCCAACCGTACAGCGACTACAGCGGACACCCACACCAACCGCAACACCAGCACCAGTCGTCGGCACAGCACGAGCGGGACCGGGAACGGGACAGGGATGGTATGATGCCTCCCGAATGGCAGCCCACGAGCGCAACGTTGAGCTGTCAGGTGAGGGACGTATTCCCGGTGCCGGAGATGACGATATACCGGGTGAGCGACGACGACAGTAAGACACAGGCGTTGACCGAAATCGTGCAGAAGATCGACCGCAACGCCAACGGGGCCTACAATGTGACCATCACTAGTGATATTAGGGATTACGAGCTCATCGAGACCTACGGCAGTCATCGCAGTAATTATGAATGTCTGCTATTATTGCCCGACGGATCCAAAAACAATTACCAGAGAAAGAAACGCATCACTTATTTAACCGGTTTGTCACCCATTTATTGCACATTTGTTTTAAACCCATATATAATAATTAAACCAAATACCATATTAATTTTTTGCCCATTTGTGTCCATTTGGTCACTATTTATTAAATCATTCACCACATTATATATGAGTTTCGATTATAGAAATGGCTCTTTGTTTTTATATAGAAAGTATATCTCTAATAGTCTTTGAGAACAATTCATTAATACAACGATTCTTTAGTTCAAAGACATTAACGAAATGACATTTTGTTATAATTATTGCCAGATATAAAACAAACTGATTTTTATCGACTGAAAAAGGGTTTTTTGATATAATTAGCGGCAATTATAGGGAAATTTGTATTTGATTTTTCAAAAAATCTTTAATATATCAAAGAATTAATTCAGAGTATTAGGAGTTTGAGTGGAGGGGAAAGGCTTTGCCTCACGTTTTTTGGACGACACACAAGAATCGGTTTATATTATAATACAATCTCTTTTTAATTCATAGAGTCATCAGATTTTCTCTGACTCTCTCGCTGTGTATAATCATTATCATCGATGCATTAAGTCTTAATTAGACATTAGGTTTCGATACTAAGTTATACCATACAAAAAGCGAGTCTTGTTTTTTGTGTGATAAATAACTGAGTGGTGTCTCAAAGGGTGTTCACTAATAGTGAAGCACTCGATATAAAGAATGAGAAGATTTATTTCATACATAATAGAGAAGCTATAAATACTTCGGGTATTCTGTGAACAAAAAGCTTAATAAAGTACACCTATTGAGAGGCCCTATGTTTTAATGTCTTGCTTCAAACGCAAGAATATAACTTCAATTGAAATACGAAAACAAGATATTCTTCTTCTTCTTATTTTTGGTTTAAATTTTTATTAATAAATATATCGTGTATTTATTGGGTCCGGGAATTGAATGCTCGGACCGGAGGAATGAAAAATTGATTAAATAAAATATCAATTTGTTTTGCGCCCAAAAAGTGAACAAAAAGAAAGTAGAGTTGAATCGGATTTTAAAAATATATAACAAACAGTAAAACACGAGAAGAAGAGTATTGGAGAGAGAAATGACGAAAAGAGTAAAACCCCAGGAAATGAAATATAAAATACATTATATATTATTTTGTTCGCCTGTATTCCTGTTATCAGCAGCTGTTTTGTGAACATAAGTTTTATAACTCCTATATAACAGATCCCAAAGACTTTTTGGTTTATAAAACTTGAAGTAAAAGTGAGCGAAAAAGATAGCATAGGTTTTAATGGATCTAAAAGAGTGGTTAAAAGAGGAATTTAAGTGAAAAAACGGTTATTTTTCGCCAGTTTTGCTCAGTATGTGAAGCGAAAGAAGAAAATTTGTTTTTTTGCTGTTTTCGTTGTTTAACCAAAAATAAGAAGAAGAAGAATATCTTGTTTTCGTATTTCAATTGAAGTTATATTCTTGCGTTTGAAGCAAGACATTAAAACATAGGGCCTCTCAATAGGTGTACTTTATTAAGCTTTTTGTTCACTTTTTGGGCGCAAAACAAATTGATATTTTATTTAATCAATTTTTCATTCCTCCGGTCCGAGCATTCAATTCCCGGACCCAATAAATACACGATATATTTATTAATAAAAATTTAATATAAAATTTTATTTTTGTGTCTCATTTTTTCATACAGAATACGCTTTACTGAACAACACTATTAGCCCAACGATATTAACGAGAGATAGCATCGCATTAATGAGTGTTTTATTCATTGCTCTACTCTTTTATGGATCAGAATATTCGTGAAAAATGAAGTGCTTTTCATAATAATAATAATAATATTAATAATAATATCGTTAACACTAATAATCAGACAATTTTATCGCAACTTTCTATTTGATTGAAAACACATTTTCATTGTTTGTCTGTGTTTTGAATGAATGTCATGAAGAAGAGAGACGACAGCGACGAGTGATTTACACACCAAAGACATCGTATAATAGATCCGGAGTTTTAATAAAACTAATTCATTACTTACTACTAGTCCTCGTAATAGAGAAATGAAACTAATTTTTTAATTATAAACACTATTATTATTAATTGAAGTCAACGGCAAAGAAAAACGTTTCAATATTAACGTCAATACAAAGACTATGATCGCAAACACTGGACCCCAAAGTGTTATCCACGAATTGAAATGCATATTAATATAATTCAAGTTAATAATGAATTAATAAATAAAAAAACCTTTATGAATTTTATTGTCAATTGTATGTAAATATAATTATGAGAAAACATTTTTTATATAAATAAAAATTGTAAAAAACCTGATTATATGCTTCCAATGCTATTGTTGTTATAATTGTGAATAAGACTGAAAAATTACTATTTAAACATTTACTTTAAAATTATTTTTACCGTTCAATTAATATTCAATACCTGAACACTGAATATAATTGTAATACAAAACCGAAATATTACACCATTTTTTTTGTTGTAAACATAATTACAATTACTTATTATTAATTATATTCAAACCTTGTGTAACACAATAGCAAATACCGTTATTGTGTAACAAAACAATACATTTTGTGTAAAATTATACAAAAGTATATCGATTTCTGTGCAGAATATAAGAAATGCTGATCTATTCATAAGGAATACTCAATGAAAGCGAATACACAGCAGAATATTCTGTTAATTCTATGTCTCAACGCATATAATGTTTCCCAAAAACCGGTGATTTGGCTAACGATTGGAATTCTAGTTAAGAAAGTTAGGGAAAGATTCAGAGAAAGACTAATAGAAAGTGGAAGAAAGAGAGGCAGAGAGGGAGGGAGAGAGTAAGGATAAGAAGGGCACCAAAAATAACAACAAGTAATGGATGTCAAAGGAGTCACTCAAATGTATGGAGAAAACCAAACATTGATTGCAAACACCAGATAATATACAGATTTGGGAGATAATGATTTAGAGAGAATTCGGGAGAGAGAGAGAGAGAGAGAGAGAGAGGGAGGGAGAGAGAGAGAGAGAGAGAGAGAAGAAGAGAGTTAGATAAGGGAAACATAATTATGCACTTTATTTATACGTCAAAATCACATTTTGTTAAACACTAACTCTCGCTGTTTAGCCTCTAATAAAGGCATTGAGATAACGGATTGGGAGGACTGGGGATAGAGTTGTGTTGCGACGAGAGTCTGGATTAAGGTTTTTGTTTAGTATAAAAAATTTATATAAAAATCATGTTTAAAATTCTTGTCCCGCGAGATATCCGATCGGGAGTTCCGTTGGATCTCCTGTTATGTCTTTGACCAGTCTTTTCGTTGCGTTAAATATAATAATAATTTTGAATATATTTTGTGCAAAACCTTTTCAGTAAACTGTTTTCGTCGTGAAAACCATTTTCAAAAGACGTGAGAAAATTGATAATTAATTAATATTTAAATGACACCTACTTTTGTATAAAAGATTTTAAGACAAAAAATAAAATAAATAAAATGAACATTTGATTTAAAAAATGAAAAGTTATTAAATTCTTGGGAATAGGAATAATAAATAGCGGGAAATGTCTTTTTCGTTTTGGTGGAAAAAACTACAGTCAAACTCGTTTTTGATGACCATAAATATGTTTGAATACGTTCATTATAGCAATATATGGATTGTTCACTATAATGGAATATAATATAAACATGATTGTTTCTGTTTGATGTGTACACTATTCATAATTTAATATTTTTTAATAAAGTTTTTAATGTACAGACAAACACATGGGTTATACAAAACAGAGTTCTGGAGTTAAAATGGATTTTAGCTTTTATTTTTGTAAATCACATCTTCAAGTAAGTGATGAAAATTTATTTGATAGGCTTGAGAGAGGGATACGGATTGGCGAGAGAGAGAGAGAGAGAGAATGTTAAGAGAAAGAAACAGAGAGTT